GCTTAAGCGGCTGAGGGGGGAAAGGAAGGGACCTGAGGCTGTGAGGAATGGTGGGAGTTGCTGTCCAGAACACCTGCAGGGCCCAAGTTTTCCACCCCTGCTCTTTCTTTCCATGTCCAGTTTTATTAGGCACAACCTTTAGTGGGCCACAGCCATTTCCCATTAAAACTCAGGCCAAGTCAAATGTTTAGCCTTATTTAAACACTGCCCTGGAGCCTCAGCTGACCTTCCTTCTTTTCTTCTTTCAGGGAAGACATGATTGGACATCTAATGAGTAAGAGTCGCACGGTTTATGAAGGAAAACAGCAACAGATGTCAGGAAACCGGCCTGCTTTCCTACCTAAACTCTACAGAAGAGGGCATCCTGCTGTCACTTTAAATGCCACGGTTCAGTGCTCTGCAATCATGGGAGTTTTGGGTCCTTAGCCCTCCTGCCAAATAGGACTGTAACTCCCATAATTCCATCGCATTGAGCCATGGTGGGTTTTGGGGTTTTTTTTTTGTGTGTGTCAGGAGTGACTTGAGAAACCGCAAATAGCTTCTGGTGTGAGAAAATTGGCCATCTGCAAGGATGGCCAATCTGCAAGGATGGCCTGGGGACGCCCGGATGTTTTACCATCCTGTGGGTGGCTTCTCTCATGTCCCCGCACGGGAAGCTGGAGCTGACAGGCAGGAGCTCACCCTGCTCCCCAGATTAGAACCACCGACCTTTCAGTCAGCAGTCCTGCCTGCACAAGGATTTATAACCCATTGCACCACTGGCGGTTAAAGTGGAGTCAAAGTGCATCACTTACACCAGGGTTCCTCAAACGAAGTCCCTCCAAAGTCGTTTATCTGGTCCCACCCTAAACTTTGGACTTAAAGTTGCCTTAAGCCTGAAACGACTTGAAGGCACACAACAACAATCCTAATTAACTTGAGTATCAGCCAAAAACAGGCACATACTTCCCACTAAAATACTGGTAAGCTTGTGTTGATTGTTCTGCATTTTAAATATTGTATTATAATTTCTCTCTCTGTGTGTGTACTATAGATTGTCCACAGGAATTAATGCATTTTTTTTCAAACTATAGTCCGGCCTCCCAAGAGTCTCAGGGGCTGTCAACAGGTCCCTGACTGGCAAAAGTATGATAGCTGGGACCCTACGAACCCTATGCTAGTAGTGCAACGTGCGTCAGAATCAATGAAGAGAAGTCTGCTTGGACTGCTCCCAGCTGCTGGGGCTGCTTTCTTCGAAGGGCAGAAAGTGTGCTGGCGGCCAGGGAAGGTTTTTACAAGGCCCTACTGCGAACAGGGAGTCAGGAATCGGATCCCCAGTTCCCCCCTTCTTCTGCTTTCCTCTGCCCGCTTTCTAACAGTGGAAGAGCCGGGGCAACCAGCATAGGGTCCCAGCTATCATACTTTTGCCCCCTGACTTATACAGTGCAGATTCACCCATGATTTTCAGACAACTGAAGACCTATACGTATCCCTTCCAACAGCCCTGCTCGGTCAGTTTTTAACTATGAATTTTAAAGTCACGTCTTTTCTCTAATGTATTTTCATCTTTGTTCTGTATATTTTAATATGTATTAACGTATGTATTTTACTGAATGGTTTTATGATGACATGTTATTTAGTATGTTGTGCCCCACCTCGACCAGTGAGGAGAAGCAGATAAGAAGTAAATATTATTGTTGTTATTATTGTTGTTATTATTATAGGGTTGCTGTATGGCCATGCTCCAAAAGGACCCTGTGGTGTCACAGCGGGTTAAACTGCTAAGCTGCTGAACTTGCTGACCAAAAGGTTGGTGGTTCGAATTTAGGAAGTGAGGTGAGCTTCCTTTGTTAGGCACAGCTTCTGCCAACCT